ATTTGAGATCATTTAAACACATAGATTTAAACACATACTTTCAGATCTGAAATATGCCAGAGTTGTCATCTCTAATGCAACATGATACAAACTCCCCTAATCGGAAGGAGAGGCTCTGGAAAGCTTGAGGTGGTATAAAGCTCTGGTCCAGAGAAGATAACATAAAAGCAAAGTGAAGCCAGGGCACACATCCCTGAGTAGGGTCTTTCTTCCAGAGCCTCATCTTCTTATCTTATTTGGTAGTTATTTAGTAAGTCAGTCAGACTCCAGCAAAGAAAAAGCAGAAACTCACGAAGGCAAAGAAAGAGGCTGTATTTGAAGGGCTGGCACAGAGGGAAACAGCCACACTAAAAAGCAGACACAAACTGTGGCCCATAGTAAACCGTGTTCCACGTCCTCTATGACTCATTTTGGGAAGGGGGAGGGACATCTCAGAACAGCATTGTCCAGCAAATTCTATAAATATTTGTCCTTTGAGGACTTGATGACAAGATCATTCCATGAGCAAATACATCGGAGAGGTCCTGCATGCCTCATCTCTTAGCAAACTGAAACCTTGCACAGATATAGCTAAGGCTCTGAGAAGTCCTGCAGTATCTCACTCAGCGTCCCCTGAATCTATGGAAGCACTGCATCTAATTCTATTCCCCCCACCCAAGGGACACTCAGCAATATCCAGAAGCTTACAAAACTCAGTGCTTTAGAAAAGTACACAATTATACATCCCTTTTTTCTTCAAAGCAGCTGGTATGATTTGAAATGAATGCATCTTTTCAAAGGAGCTGAAATGATGCTGTCTGGTGCTTTTCTAGAAAAGCTATAGTAGTAGCTCACCTCTGTGCCCCCTAGAGTTGAGGTCTGAGTCCCTGGGTAACCCCAGACCACTCTTAAAGGGCTCTGACCCAGAAGACACCATTCTGGCCAGCCTCCTGCTCACAGGCGAACCAAAGGTACAAGATAAGCTCTCCGCTGGAAGGAAGGACCTCTCACCTGGAAGAAAGGGCCTCAGCAAACCCGGGGCGCACCTGGTCCTGCTAGAGGAACAACTGCTCCCCATTCTTTAGCCCCATTCTTCTGGTTTTTCACCTTGCTCACTCCCCTCCCCCTTGATCTTCCTTCAAGTAAGTAAACACGGTAATAGTTCAAGGGTTGTCATGCAAAATAAGAACACAAGGCCTGAAACAGGTGGTCTGTTTTGAGAACTTCCCTCTGGAAAATGTTTCTTTGACCAAAGGCGTTGGATTTCCAAGCAGGGCTTGGGATCCTTAGAGAGAGATCAGTTGGCCTAGTAGACAGAAAGTGATGTTCCCAAGCCAAAGGTGGGTGACTTTAATCTGCGGCCCTCAGGCCTGTTTTTAATTGTTTTTGGTCAAACATTCTTCTGGGTCATATAGCCCTGGCATGTACAATTGCTGTACAGAGGTAACTCGTGGTTGCTGTGAAGCTGAACACTGTGACACTGATGTGTCAAATGCATTAATGGTTACCCATGGTGAACAGTGTTTGGTGGAGCTCCCTGATTAAAACAAGCTTGGAAGCAGGAGTGGCATCCACTTCCGTAATCGCTTGCTTCTGGAAACTCTATGAACCTGGAGAGAGGATGACAGTCATGCAAGTGTCGAGGCCTTTCGTTCATAGGGTCGCTATGAGTCATCTACGACTCGACGGCACTTAACAACAGCAACACCGCACAGACAGGAAGCTCCCCCGAGGCAAATGGACATCCTGGTTAGCCTAGGACATTCCGGTTCTTGTTCCAGCATCAGTGAGACCTGCAGAGAGGCTAGACCAGGCTGCTGCCATGGCTGCAGACACCGGGCCAGAGGCAGAGGGCAGGAGGAAGGGCCAGGGTGAGCCCAGGGCCTTACCTGGTATGTGTTGTCGAAGCTGTCATACATGAACCTTGTGATCAGAGACGTCTTCCCAACTGCAAAACAAAGAGAGAGCTGTCAGCCACACTAATCCACGGCTAACCAAGTTGACTCTGACCCACAGTGACTCCAGATAAGCCAGAGGAGAACGGGCAACCAAAAGGCTGAAGGTTCAAGTCCACCCCCCAGGCACCTCAGAAGAAGGGCTCTATTGATGCCCCTCCAAGATACAAGTTAGAGACCCAACTCCAGAGAGTTTTCAATGACAGGCTCTTCAGAGGTGGAGGCCTGGCCTTCCAAAGAGTGCTGGTTCGCTCACACTTCCAGCTTTCAGCTAGCCAGGCATGCAAAATGTTTGCCCATGCCAGATGCCAGCTCTTTTTCGCATGTTTCAATCAAAGAAAACCTATGTGCACACCCATGTTTATCGCAGCTTTGTTCACAATAGCAAGGAGGTGGAAACAACCTAAGTGCCCATCAACAAATGAATGGATAGAGAAGCTGTGGTATATTCACACCATGGAATACTATGCTGCATTGAAAAATAAGGAACTCATGCAATAGTATTCAAAATGAGTGATCCTGGAGGACATTATGCTGAGTGAAGTATCTCAGTCATGAAAGTACAAACACTGCATAGTGCCACTGCTGTAGAATGGGACTGACATCAGAGTTGGGGTTGTTGTTGTTATGTGCCGTCGCGTCGTTTGTGACTCATAGCGACCCTATGTACAATAGCCCTAAACCGTGTTCTATCCTGTGCCAATCTCATTGCCTCTGACAGTTGGGGTAAGAATGAGAAAAACTGGATAAATTATGTAATCTGCATTGAGAGAACAGTTTAAAAGTAATATATTATAGGGTATTATGATTATCATAAGAGTCCGGAATGAAGGCTGCAGAGTGGAGTATACTCGGGGTGGGGGTAGGGGAAGGCGGGGGGGGGATTATATACCAATGAAGTAATTTTTATTTTACTTTTCAAAGAGAACAGCGAACTGGGGGTGGGTAGACAGGGAGAAAAGTGCAACAACAAATGAATGGAAATCCAAAATCTCTCTAAATGTTCATTAAAATGAATTTTAAAAAACAAAAAACAAAATAAAAGGAAAAGCAAAGAGGAGGGTGAAGTTGTAGAGACAGAGAAGTGGCAGGTAGGTCCCCAGAGAGCCAGCGCAGGACTGAGACTCCATCCCTGAGGGCTTGCTGGCCCCCGGTTGGGGGGATAGTGACAAAAAGCAAGTTACCCCAAGAGTTCTCTGCGTGCAAACCCCAGTCATCCTGGGCCCAGAAGAGTCCAGGGGGCACAAAGCCATGAAGACTTGTAGCAAGTGGACACAAGACCAATCGGTTCTCTCGTGTGAGGCACGTTCTTCCGGAAACAGCCTTTTCACGGGTGGGTCACACGCAGGGACTGGAGCCCATCCTTATATTCAGTCTCCAGACGGATGAGGGGGAGGGCTTTCCAGGGAGTCAGGAGATGGGGACACGGGAAGCGCAGGATGTGTCTCTCACGGGCGGGACAGTCCTTTACAAGCTATGACTGTCCAGCTCACTACAGGACACAGGGTCTCCCGGAAGCCCACTTAGGCTGTGGGGTTGTTGCTGTTAGTCCAGCTCATCCCGGAGGATGGCTCTCCGTCACCATGACAACGCAGACAAATGCCCTTCTACGGGGCAATGACGTCCCACTGGGATTGGCTGTGAGACTCCAGATGTCGCCTGGGAACTCCATAAATGACGCTAATTCCCCAAAGTGCAAGGCCTGGCTTCTGTCTTAACCTTGGGCAGGCCCCCTGGGACCTGGCAGTGGGAGAAATGCCTGCTCATATATTTAGCGGCATCTGGGAGGAGGAGGAGGGGGCAAGGAACATTCAGTGGTGGCGAGGCTGTGTCCCTGCACTGTCCCCTGAATCTCTGCCATGCCCGGGGGTGGGGGGAGGGTGTCTCAAGAGGGACAGGTCTGGCTGAGCTTGGCACCAGCCTTAGTCCTCATGACCCTGGGCTGTAGGAGGCTGACAGACTAAAGGACACGAAACATCCACGGGCTGTTCCTTCAGCTCCTCCCTATTGCCCAGCGTAAGATGTTTACAGGCTGGGCCTGGTAGGGTGGTGGTCATCACCTCAGAAGAGCAAGAAAGCCCTCTCCAGGCAAAGGTTCTTCGCCAGGTTTTACGCCTCAGTACAAAGCCAGTTGTCATCAACTCCAACTAATAGCAACCTGACACACCTGAGCAGAACTGTGCTCTATGTCGTGTTATTGTTGCTGTTCGGCGCTGCTCAGTGAACTGTAACTCACAGATCTGGACCCTACCCCATCCAGGACCATCCTCACTATCTCCAACACACTTGTGTCAATCCACCTTGTTGAAGGCCTTCCTCTCTTTTGCTGACCCCCTCCATCTTTTGAGCATGATGTCTTTCTCCAAGGATTGGCCATTTCTAACAACACACCCAAAGTATGTGAGACAGTTTTACCACCCTTGCCTCCTCCGAGGAACACCCTGGTTGCACTTTCTCTAAGGCAGACTTGGTTGTTTTCTTGGTAGTCCATGGGATATTTATACTCTTCTCCAAAACCACAACTTAAAGGCATCGATTCTTCTTCTGTCATCTTTAGTCACTGTCCAACTTTCAGATTAATAGCATGTAACTGAAAAGACCATGACCTGGATCTGGTACAGCCTAGTCTTTGAATGAACCTAACTGCTCTTAGCACTTTGGGGAGGTCCTTGACAGCAGATTTTCCCAATGTGATACATATTTTGATGTCCTGACTGCTGGCACAAAGGCTGTGGATCAAGTAAGATGAAATCACTGGTAACTTCAATCTCTTCTTCATCCATTCTGTAGCCTGTTCCAGTGGTGAAGATTTTCATTTTCTTGATGTTGAGATGTAATCCACATTGAAGGCTGTAATCCTTGATCTTCGGCAGCAAGTGCTTCAAGTCTTCCTTGCTTTCAGCAAGCAACGTGCTCTACAGGGTTTTAGAATAGCTGGCGCTTTGGAACTTGATCAGTAGGCCTTTTTTCTGAGGTTCTTCTGGGTAGACTAGAACCTCTACTTTTTCTCTTTGCAGTCAAGAACGTTAACCACTGTACTACTGAGATTCCAGTGCCTGTGGTTTCATCTCATAACAGATCCATGTAAGTAACCATCTCTTAACAGCAGACAACTATCTTCTCTACAGATGGAGCATCCAAAAGACTGTATTTTGTATAAATTCAGAAGATGCTGCCTCTGACAAGAAATGGTTAACTGGATTCAAATCGAGCTGGAGTATTTATTTACTATGTCATCTCGAGATGGTCACCATCCTCGGGACCTCAGTGCCTCATTTTAAAATAACATCATTAATACCAAAGGCTTCAGATGATGTCATTGTTGTTTTTGTTGTTGTTGTTGTTGTGAACCACTGAGTCGGAAGTGACTCACAGCTGGCCCTTCAATCGGTTTTCAGAGGCAAGAAGAAAGTGCCCATCTTTCTCCCACAGAGCAGCTGGTAGATTTGAACCATGTACCTATACATTGCCAGCACAATTCTTTACCACCAAGCCACCAGAATTCCCTTCAGAGGAGCTAAAGGAAGAATTAAAGAAGATAAAGTGCCAGGAAGGCAGACACAAGAAAAATGCTTAGAAGTGTAAGAAAGAATAGGATAGTAACTGAAATAGCTGATGTGGTTTCCAGAACATGAGAAGGAGAAAAAAAAAAACAACCCAACCAAAACCACCAAAAAACCAAACAGCACAACAATTTCAGCACTGTTCTGTAAGAAAAGCTTTGGGGCAAACAGAAATGAACCCGAGATTTCTTTCCATTTTACCCAGAAACTGGGTTTTTGTTTGTTTTTGTGCTGCTATAGAAATTAAAGCTTCAACATGCTTTCAAATGGCTTTCCGTTTGCCTTAAAAATTTCACATGATGGGAGTGAGGTGGGGAGTTTTTGCCCACCTTGAGGTTGGGCTCTGGGGCCAGGGGCAGATGTGGCACAGATACATGAAAGGACACACAGAGCAAAAACTGAACCAGCCCTGAATGAGCAAGAGGCAGGTGACATCCATCGAGGAAGGGAAAGCGGCTCTTTTTTTTTGCCTTTTATGTGCAGTGGAAAGTTACCACCACTCAGACAAAAGGGATCCCAGAGCCTGAAGGTAACTTTGCGAGGCAGGAGCACTTGGCATCTTCATGCCTCAGGGGAAAGGGCTCCACTTCACAGGGCAGGTGAAGAGAGAGAAGGAAAACACCCATTCTCTTCTCCCAACAGGTTCCTCCCTGGGGCAACTGAATCAGCAGAGAGACAGCAGAATCCCCAAAAAAGGCACAGATGGAACAAGGTGTCTTTGAAGTGTCATAGAAAACTCTGCAAGGGGGTTGGTTCTATGCCAAGTCGCTTCTTCTCGGCATACCATCCACTGATGGTGGAACAGGGCTGGCCTGCTATGGAGTTTACCATTCAACAGGACTCCTCTTGGACTAATTTGATGTTGCTATGTGGATGGATGGGACTATGCAAAAGGGGTGTGATGGTGTATTGACAAGGAGACTGGCCAACTCCCATTCCACCAGGAGACTGGCCAGTCTCACCAATCTACAAGAGGTCTGGCTAGTCTCGCCAATAAATCAAAGAGCTCTAGCTGAAGAGACGGAATTCTTCCTCCACCAGAAAAAAGAACTCTTCTCCCAGCCAGAGAAGAGAGACCTCCCTCAACCTGGCAAAATGCAGGATATGCTTTGGGATAGCAGCACCAGCCATGGCTGAACTGGAGAACTGATGTGGGATGGGACTTTGGGGGATGGAGGAAATGAACAGTGGCAGGACTGAGAACTTTGTTAAAAAACTGGGTGGAAAGCCAATATTGGTAGGACCAAGAACTTTGTTGGACAATTGGGCGGAGAGCTAATATCGGCAGGACTGAGACTTCAAGAACAGAACGAGGCTTGAGGATGAGGTAACCAAGTGCACATCCTGGGAGTTATCGTGGCTGTATTCTGTTATTAATTTGAATTACAATCTTTTGACTCCTTTGATATGGCTCTGTATTGTCTGAGAGCTATCATATTGAATATTGGACCCAGTAAAGCAGTAAGACTGGTGTTGAGATGAGTAGAAGGAGGCATGGGAGCATGGGAGACATGTCTGACCTCATGGGAACTGGTTTTATGTTACTGATACAGTTCCTCCTGTGAAGTTGATAAAGGTGAGATACGGCATTCCCCACGTGGTCTTTGCTCTTTTCACACCCTCAGAGTCATTTCTGGTGGAAGATGAAACTCCTAAGAGAGAAAGGTGCCCATTAGAACTATGTGAGCATCGGCTTGTGTGCTGTGAGGATGCTGAAAGGTTTCACTAGAGCCTTCAGGTTGAGACGGACGAGGAAGAAGGTGTGGTGATAGACTACAAAAATCACCCAATGACCCATCAACAAATGAATGGATAGAGACGCTGTGGTATAGTCACACAATGGAATACTACGCAGCACTGAAAAACAAGGAACTCATGAAATACTATGCTAAGTGAATGACCCTAGAGGATATTATGCTGAGTAAAATATCTCAGTCACAAAAGGACAAATATTGCATAGGGTCACTGTTGTAAAACGGGACTGACATCAGGGTTGAGGGAAAGACAGAGAAGGACGGGAGGAATGATGTATACTGAATTGAAACAGATGAGGGAGAGAACCGTTTAAAAGGGATATATGATCAGGTATTATTGTGATGTCAGGAGTCCAGAACGAAGGCTGCACAGTGCAGTGGACTTGGGGGGAGGGGTTGCATAGCAATGAAAGAGTTTTTCCTTTACTCATCAAGGAGAAAATTGAATTGGGGGTTGGGGAGAAAAGTGCAACTATGTATGACTGGAAACCCTAAGTCTCTGTAAACTTTCATTAAAATGAATTAAAAAGAAAAAGAAAAAAAATCATCCAATGAGGCACCCTGGATCACAACAGCCCCACTGATACTGTGCATGTTTCCATGAGCGGGGGCCAGCTCAACAAGCGCTAACAACTGGTACAAGGAAGGAGGAATTCTGGGGAATAAGGTCCCGGCCACTATTCCCTGAGCATTTTACAATTCCCATAATACGTGACCTGGTGAAATACCAGGGGGCATGCTCGAGGCACATCACAGTGGAGAGCAGAAGAGGCAGGCTACCAGCCCACCTGAGGGCTGCAGCGATGCCGGGCTTGCAGCCCCACTGCCAAGCCCCTCAGCACACCCCTTTTGGATGCGGAAGCTGGTTGTTGTTGCTCCTGAGTCAGTACCATCGAGTCAGAACTACCCCAAAGCTGACTTCTGCGTGCCTTTGAGAAGACTGCACAAGTCCTTACCCCAAGGCCACTGAAGCTCCCTTCTGACATTGGTATTAAGGGCTCAGTTGACAGCTACTCGTCCAAGGTCGCAGAGCTAAGCTGGACCTGGATGTGCCCGCCCACCCTCCTGAGACCCCACCACTCCTATGTGATGCTCCTGTGCCTTCCGAGTGAGTCACAGGATTCTCCCAGCTCTTCACTGCCACCAAGGTAAATGTCATCAGGCTCCAAGAAATAGCTCGACATATCACGACCCTGTAAGACAGAGGCGGACGCGCTGGTGGCGTAGTCCACCGGGAACTGTACTGCTGACCCAGAGACCAAACCTCTTCAGAGGTTCAAATCCACCAGCAACTCCTTGAGAGAAAGATGGGCAATCTCCTCCGTGGAAACCCGCGGAAGGGTCAGCTCTGAGTTTGAGTCGGTTCTGACTCAACAAGAATGAGTGACAGGACAGAATGGAAAGGTCCTTGTAGCCTAGCGGCTGGTATGTTCGAACTTTTGATCTTTTGGATAGCAGACAAGCATTTAACCACCGCTCCACCAGAGCTTCAGTATGGACTGAGGCTCAATGTCAAGAAGACAAAGATTCTCACCACTGGACCAATTGGTAGCATCAGGATGGAAGACGAAGAGATTGAGATTGTTCACAGCTTCAGTTTGCTTGGCTCCACGGTCAACACTCTTGGCACCAGCAGCCAGGAAATCAAAAAACGTATTGTGACTGGAAAGTCTGCTGTTAGGGACCTCTCTAAAGTACTCAAGAGCATCGGTGTGTCTCTGGAGACTAAGGTGCGTCTGATACAGGCCACGGTCTTTGCAATCACTTGTAATGCATCAGAGAGTTGGACAATGACCAAGGAGGATAGAAGGAGAATTGATGCCTTTGAGCTGTGGTGCTGGAGAAGAGTACTGAATGTACCATGGACTGCCAAGAAAACAAACAGATTCATCCTGGAGAGGGTTAAACCAGGCTACTCCTTGGAGGCAAGGATTCTGACATACTTTGGACATGTTGTAAGGAGGGACAGGTCCTTGGAGAGGGACATCATGCTTGGGAGGGTGGAGGGACAGCGCAGGAGGGGAAGACCCTCTATGAGATGGACTGATTCAGTGACTGGGGTAATGGGGATGGGTGTGTTAGAGGCAGTGCAATTGGCACAGGATAGAACAGGGTTTAGGGCTGTTGTACACAGGGTCGCTATGAGTCTCAAGTGACTCAACGGCACATAACAACAACCACCACCACCACCACCAGAGTTTGACTGGCCACATCAGAGAGCACCTTTGTTTCACAACAGGCTGGAGGCCGGACCTCTCACCCCTCAAAAGGTGATAGACCTAAATCTGGAAGATTAGCAACAGTGGCATGAGAAAGGTTCAGGAAGCAAGAGTGTGCGGGTTGGAGGAGGTAGGGCTCAGCAATGCAGCAGACGACCTGACAAAATGAGGGCTCATCTGCGCTTTGCCACAGACATAATAATTTCCCTCTGCTCCTTCATCTTCTCATATCTCAGAGCTGAGGTTCCCTAACTCCTGACTTTCAGCTCTCCCGAAGCTCCGCATATTCCTTCTCCGCTGCCAGGATCTGACGGTGCAGACCTCAGGGTGAGCCTGGCCACTCAGCGCACCCTATCTCAGTCTCCATTTTTTGTGGGGCCCAACTCCCCAGGGCCCGCTCCATCTGTTCCCTGATACCAGACTGACCCAAGATCATCGCCAAATTCCCTGTGAGACAGACTCAAGAGCTTTGGGACCTAAAGATGTCCCTAGTTACCCCTGTAACTGGGAGAAATACGCCACCTGTCCCCAACCTCCCCCAGCCTCTTCTATGTGATAACAGTTCCTGAAGGTCCAGCTCCCAGCTCCCGACTGTCTGTGGTGCTCTGACTCCTGGTGGGAGCCCGATTTCATGGCAGCCCACCTGTGTGTGGGTGTGCGCGCCTCTGCGCCCCATCCAGAGCCAGACCATGTGACCGCTGGCTCTGAGGTTCTGGGGTGGAATCGCTGTGTGCACGGAGCTGAGCAGCACCCAGAGTCAAGCTGGGCAGTACGCCCCACCATGATGCAGGGCAGGGGTCCTCCCCACGCGCTCTCTGGAAAGCATTTTAGGCACTGCCTAAGAAAACGAACAGGTTTGTCTTGGAGACGGTGAAGCCGGGTTGCTCCTTGGAGGCAAGGATTCTGAGGCTCTGTCTGACATACTTTGGACATGTTGTAAGGAAGGACCAGTCCTTGGAGAGGGACATCATGCTTGGGAGGGTGGAGGGACAGCGCAGGAGAGGAAGGCCCTCTATGAGGTGGATTGATTCAGTGACTGGGGTAATAGGGGTAGGTGTGTCGGAGACAGTGAGATTGGCACAGGACAGAGCAGAGTTTAGGGCTGTTGTACACAGGGTCGCTGTGAGTCACACAGGTGACTCGACGGCACGTAACAACAACCGTCTGTTCACCTTTGCCCAGTTTCAGGAGCTGACAAGGAGCTGCCTCGTGCTAAGCTCTTCACTCCTCAGAAGCCCCCTCCTCACCCCACACCCCACTGTCAACAACTACCGAGCAGGAAGTGTTACAGGCTGGAAACGGAGAGCCCAGCACTCCACCTCCCTGCACATTCTCTCAGTTCCATCACCAGGACAGACAGGTGGCACCTGCCATCTGAATGGGCACTCCCACTGGGCCAGGGAGCTCGGATGGCTTAGTGAGGAAGGAGCTGAACTGCCAACCCAAAGGCATGCGGTTCAAATCCACCAGTTGCTCCGAGGGAGAAAGATGAGCAATTTCCTCCCTTGAAATTCAATTCACTGTCTCTGAAAAGCTGTGGGACGGTCAGCTGCAAGCTGGTTCCGACCTGATAGTTCTCAGCCACCACCACGTCACCATCGTGGGGTTGCAGCTAAGAGGGACAGGGGCACCTGAGTGGAGGAAATGTGCCTGTTCTTGGGGCGGGGGGTGAGGCTCTCCCTTTCAGAGCCCTCCTGCCCTCCAACCTTGCCGGGTGAAGATGTGTCCTCCACACACAGCTTCATCCTCAAGGTCACGTCACCCCGCGTCCCTTCCAGGAGCAGCCCCCCAGACACAGTGAAGCTCAGCGTCGTTCTTTCTGGGGGCGGAGATTCAGCTCCGCGGGCAGGGTTTTATTAAAAGTAAGCAGTCGAATCATTATTGGGCTTTTTCCTCCTTGACTGCTCAGCAATATTCTTGTAATCTTCTGGCACTTTAGTCCCAAATGATTTAGCAGGGTGATACATTTCCCCCCCCTCTC